CGCAAGGTAAAGAGAGTAGGCCTGAACCACCTCTCCCAGATAAGCTGCCCAAATTCTCGGAATACTAGCCCCTGGCAACTCCACGTTCACTTACTGTAAAAGTGTAAAAGGTTAGGTTACTCCCCAGAAGAAGAAGTAGTCAATTGCCCTGAGATATAGTACATCCCTCATCCGAAAGGAAACCTAGCCTGTAACTTGCATCTGGCTAATCTTCTTCCACATTACTGCAGCTGGGCACTTCGGTTTTCCATTATCTTCGCAGAGAGCAGAGAGAGATTTTCATGATTCTTCATGACTATGTTCTTTCTGCTTTAATAGCCAAAGGCTAAAGCCAAATGAACTCGTTCACAGAGAACAACAAGCAATTCTGTCTGATCCTTATTATTCTTGCTGAAACTACAGTTGTTACTCTGACTGACAGATTCTCAAAAGCGATTCAGTGAAAATATCCTTGATCAAATTCACGAAGGAACAGAATGTTTCAAGTGGGCGTGTCTGGCTAGAATCTCCCTGAATGGTTCAGTAACAGCATATCAAAAGAATGCTGAATTCTTATTTCCCATCAGAAAACTCACAAAGCCAATCTGAAATCTAAGGGCAGATGGTATTAGCCTAGTAGTAAACACATTTTTAGCTGCTTCTTTTTTTTCCCCCAGTAGCTATGTTTAATGTGCTGAGAGAAAGCTGTCTGCTTGCAGAATCTTATTATAGAGCAGAAATATACTTGGTCCAGAGAAGAGGAATTTGATTGGTTCCAAGTCAAATGATGGTAACAGGTGTCACCTCACCAATCCAGAACTTAAAATGGGTTATTATAAACAGGACTAATATGTATTTTTCTGGCTCTTGCTCCCACCTATTATGCAAGACTGCATGCCCCTGTAATGTTCCTCTTGATTATTTCCAGCAGCTTCAGAGGGTAGTTGACATGTGCCCATGCACAAGTGCTGTTAGCTACCACATAGTGCCTGCCATTTTCTTGCTGTTTAGTTCAAGCTCCTCTCTGCTTCTATCTGCTACTAAGGCCTGCACAGCTTGATATAAACTGCAAGTGAGTCATGATAAGTATTGCTGCTTCTGCCAGGCTCTGTGACACTTCAGTGGAAGGACATTACATGGCTGGTTCCATGGATGCACTGAGGTCCATGAGATGGCACAGGTAGAGGGAGAATCTCTCTCTCTCTCTCTGTTACACACTGTTGAGGTTGACTGTTAGAGTCACAGAATTTTTATCCGTAGCTCTCGCTCCTCCTAGGAGCCAGATGTCAAGCTGGAGGGGAGTAGGATGGGTAGTAGGGACGTGTGGTGGCCATGAGAATGTGTCTCTCACATGCAACCGCTTCATAATTGAGATGGACCCAGCTGCTGTGCCTTGAAATCATCATCACGTCTGCTGAGGCCACAGTTCCCCTGGGCTGCTCCTGGTCAGTGATTCAGCATGGAAGGAATATGCGGGTCAATTCATCCCTGGGAGACGTGGGACATCTCTGACAGGAGACTTTGATTTGAGGTTTCCTAGTAGCCTTGTCAAACTTTCCTTAGAATCGAATTGCAGTTTAAAATGTTTCCACCCAACGTCCCTTTCTTTTTTCCCTCTTTTTCTTGCTGTTTGATGACTCTCTCAGTTTCTACCCTCCCTCCATATTTTCTCTTGCAGGCATTTCCCCCAGCACATTTTTCTTTTGCACATTTGGTCCCATCTTGGCATCCACTTCTCACAGGACCTAGGGTAACACAGTGAATTTGTGTTATGTGCAACAGAGTGACTATGTATTCTCCCTGTTGCTAAACAACGTGTATCTTCTTGATCACTTCCCTTCAGAGGAATTTTCTCTCCCAGGTGGCTTCTAGGTCCTTTTATGAATAGATCTGATGTTGACCTCAACCTCTCCCACTCACATTTGCCAGGCGTGATTAGACATGTCTTGGGTCTCAGAGGCAACGGGATGGGATGGAGGTTCAAGCTGAGCCCTGTGCTATACACGCTAGAGCAGCGATTGTGATTCTTCACTGCTGAAGCGAATGCACAGCTAAAGAAACAAAAGAAGTATAAGAAACTATCCCTGCCTTTGAAATGAAAATCCAGTTAGTGACACAAAAATCACACATGTGCCACAAGTGGTCAAGAATACAGATAATAATCATCAGTTTTTCAAGGACATTGAGAGAGGTTCAAGAAATAGTGTTTCCTCTTTTTCTAGGCTTGTACTCCTGTGTTTGGGATAATGAAATGAATAGCAGAGAGCTTTTTCTTTCTTTCTGAGCAGCTCCATGACCAGCTGGATGTGAAGATGTGAAAGCAAGAAAGGCACCATAATCATCATACTCATTACTGTGATGTGCTAAGAGCTTATCGCCTTTCATTAGGCCTTGCTGAGTTCTCCCATTGTGTCATGGACTGTAGAGTTCATGGACTGACATGAAGTCTTCACTTTTCACTTCCCAGAGTAAAAAAGTGGATGGAAATGGGGAATAAATTAGGCAAATTAGCTTAGCTCCTAATCAGGCACAAGAGCTCAGCACTGATTCTCGAAAGTTATAATATTTTACACTGAAGAATGTATGTGGTGGTGGCAGGGGTTGGAAGAGAGACATGCCAATTAGAGCTTCAATGCTAATATCAATGTCAGTGTTGTTTTCTTGACATTTTTGGCCCTTGGCTAAATTTTAGATTAACAGGCATAGAAATAATTTCAAAGATTAGCATGTTCTCCTGTTGATGGCAGGACAACACTTTGAAAGAAAGTTGATATGAAATGAATGCCGTTAAGTCTTGGGAATTGCTCACAGAAAATATCAGCAGAATTAAGTAAGGTTAATTGAAAGGGATGAATTTACTTTGGCACTGAGGTTTGAAATCTTGTTATTCTCAACTTCTTAAATGAGAGATAACAGTGTTGATTTTTTTTTTATGGATGGGCAGGTCCTCAGGGTTAAACTCTCCCTTAGGCCTTTGAATCGCTGTCAGGTGTCTTTGGGAGGCTTGCATATTTTTCTGGAGAAGGTTAGGTCAAACTAGTGACAAGCTAGATTCCCAGTGTAATCCACTCTTTCATGACATCACAGGATAAACCACTACTATGCAGAAGCTTCTGAAGTTTCTATCTGGGAATTTGTCAATGTACTGGGCACGATAGTCCCTGGTGTAATGTTGGATAAACTGAAATGGGACAATCAAGTAGACAAATTGAACTGACTCATGAATAAACAGTAAGATTTTTCCTCCAAGTTACATTGAAATTGACCAATTCGACTAAATTAACGGTATTGGCGAGCTGTTTTGTGATATGTTACGCTTCCCAAATGTATTTAACATTTTAAATATTGTGGAGCTAATTCCTATTCTGATAAGTACCAAATAAATTCTTGTCCCATAAACTCAGTTCCAACACATGGCATGGCATGAGTAATTGGACTCTATAAGAATCAAAAAAGATAAAGGTTTTTCAAGGAGAAGTTTCCTTTACTAAAAGTACCTTGGGAATTTTAGATTGTGTTTATGCAGCCTCAAACATGAATAAAAAATAATAGAAAGATTTTTTTTCCTTTTGGGTGGTGAGATTAAAGGTAATTTAGATTTTCTTTGTACTTTTATATTTTCAATTTTTTTTACAATAATTATATAACTCTTTAATTGGACAAAAAAGAATTTCGAGTGGTTAAAAAAAGGGACAGATGTGGCTTGGTGAGTGGAAAAACATTCCTAACATTTGAAACAATCTGGCAAGGACTTAGAGGCAAAAGACAGAAATCTGACTACGTTCAAGGAGTTTGCCAGATGGCAACAAATAACTGCCAATGTTTGATGGCACTATAATTATTATATACTATCTGTCACTCAGCAAGCTGTCTTTTTACGAGGCATGCAGCAACAGAATGTTGTGTTAAGATCACGCATCCTTGGGCTTATGTTGAAAGGAAGAAATGGCTTGGAAAGTCTTTCTTTTAGTCATGCCTCTGGGATATGAAGAATGGTGGGGAAATGTTTGATTATGAACACAATTGTATAGAGAATTTTGTTTGTTTATGCCTTCTGGGAACGCATTGTTTTGATTGACCCTACTTGGGAATTCAGAGGGGAGAAGTGCTCTATTATCTATAATGCCAAGATCTGCTGATCAAACACAATTGCTGGGGTCATGTTTAAAGTGCTTAATTGATGTGCTTTCAAGTCCAATTCAACACTGTAGAGGTCCCATTTACCTTCAGACATCTGGAATGTTGATCATGAATTCATCTTAACGGTCCAGTTTTAGTTGGTATTTACGTTTGACAGTTACAGAATTCTATTTCTCTCAGACATACTCTATAACTCACATTCTTCACTAGTTTTGACCATTTCTCCTACCCTCAATCTATCCAAGTGACTGAGTTTTGCTGTATGAGTTTACTGCTGTATTAGTTTACTGACAGAGATATATATAAACCATGGCTTCCACAGCTGTTTCAGATGAAACTGTATATTAACGTGTAAACTTGCAACATACACTGGAAAGTTATGTGGAGCAGGTGACTGAGGAGATAATTTTCACTGCTTGGACTCAAGTCAGTTTTGAAGGAGCTAAAGATGCCCATTGAATTCTGGTGTGTATGTGTGTAGTTTTGCTGTATGTGTGCAAAGCAGAGCACTGTCTATATTTCAAATAGTTAAAGATATGTGGCACAATGAAGTCACATTTTTACACCCTCACATGCTAAGGGTGTAAATGCAGTCTCACAGCCAAATGCAGCATTTATTTCTTAACATTGGTCTATCACTCTTGGTTTATGATGTTTTAAACACATGTTAGAGATATTCATGAAGATGTAAAAGATAAATTTAAAACCCACATCAATTGCACCAAAAGTCAACTGGAAGGAGAAGATTTTAAGTCCCAGGTGTGTTAATACAAATTGGCAGCCAAAGGAACGGAGTCTTGGCCAACATATTTCCATGTCCACCTAAACACAAATAGCCTCAAACCTTTGGAGGTTGTTCCTTTGAGATGTTTCATCAGTGACATCACAGTGATTGCCACCTCCCTTGGACTACTTTAGGCCCTGCCCAGAGCCCTGGAGTCCAGACAGCCCGGGAGAGGAGCAGGAGTTGGAGCCCAAGTTGGAGAGAGAGGAGAAGCCTGCTGCAGCCAGGTGTGTCCCTGACCCTCTTCAGGTAACGGCAGGATTTTCGTGCATAGCATACAGTGTGTGTGCGTATGTGCGCGTGCATGCAAGTTGAAAACGAGAAAGGCAGAGGAATATTTACATTTCTTAATGAAATGGACAATGCCTATTGTACACAATGTTTCTTAAGATGTAGAGTGAATACTGTTGATTCGTATTTTCCTTTTTTCCACCTCATGGGATGTATTTTTCTCCCTTCCTACTTAAATGTTTTTTTTTTTCATATCAGAGAAGAAAGTCTGTTTTCCATCTTCTCAAAGTCTCCATTCAAAGAAAGTCAATGTTAACCAATTTATTCAGAGCTTTTTTTGATTTTATTTCATCCATATGGCAATCACTTCGGATCATATGGTGTGATCTTGACTGTGGGGACGATTTAAAATGCCATCAAAATTGTCTTTGTGGATTAATGGCAGAAAAATGGATGTTTGCTGATCTGAATTTCTGCCTAACTTTGGTATAAATGTGTGTGAAAGTAAAGTTCGCCCCTTACAGCTAGTGTATATGTTGATTGAATTGGATTTATTAGAAATTCTAACTTTAACTCTTTGTGTTTTATTCATTTAAAAATATATAAAACAACACATTTAAGTTCACTATCAAAGTGCAAGAAATAGTAAGAGGTAAACTGTAGGAAATAAAGAAGTGTGATGATGGGTAGCCTGTCAATTCAGAGACTACAGAAGAAAATGTGAAGGATGCATAAAGCATAGAGTTTGAACAATAATTATAAGGCAACATCTGTATAACTATCACCCAGGTCAAGAAACAGATCATTGCCAGTACCCCAGAAGTCTGTTCCTGATCACCTCTGCCTTCTGCCCCACCAGAGGTAATCACCAACTTGATTGTTGAGAATCTTGTCCTTGCTTTTCCTTGTAATTTTACCCCCTATGTCTGCATTCCTAAACAGTGTGATTAAGTTCCCTGTTTTGGGCTTTGTATAAATGGAATCATATTCTATGTTTCTTTTGTAAATTCTTCTTTTGCCCAACAATTATATTTGTGAGATCCGCCCATCTTCTTGTTTGTTGCTCTGGTTCATGTTTTCTTTGCTCTATAGCATTCAAATGTATGCATATACCACAATTCATCATCCATTCTACGGCTGATGAGCATTTGAGTTGCTTCCAGCTTGGGGGATATTATGAAAATGTTGCTGTGAACATTCTCGCCTGTGTATCCTGGTGCATATGTGCTTGAATTTCCAGAGTAGAAGTGAAATAGCTGGATAATATGGGAATGAGCACTATCAACCTTAATAAAAAGTGTCAAATAGTTTTCCCAAAGTGGTTGAAAATTTATATATTTTTTTAGCCAGGGACATTAATTGCAGTAATAACTCATTCTTGTCATCACTTCTATGGAGTAACCACAATTCTAGCAACTAGTTCCAGTCTGCCAGTTCTAGTCCTGCCTCTAACTTGCTATGTGTCATTAATGAACTACCTCTCTCTAAAAGTCGGTTTCTCAGCTATAATCTTGAGAGAGAACAAAATTGCAGTAATACTTGCCCGAGTGGTTGTGAAGGTCACAGAGTTGTTTGGAAGGTCCCATGGATGGAGCTGTGCACAGTTGTCAATAACATTTTCCGAGTATGTTCCTTTGGGCCACTATCTATGATTTCCTTTATTTAAGAGCATAACCTAACAAGCAAATTTGGTGGGACAGTTATTTTGCACCCCCCTGAATTGGGTTGTTTTGATCATTATAAACAGGGTCTCATATTTTTGGCCGATCTCTGTAGTTCTTCAGAACTCACCCAAATACGTGGGCTTTTGGACCAGGATTTGATTTTATTAATAAATTCCTAAGAAGGAGTCTGCCTTTGATTCTCATCCCTTTGCTTCCAGGCTTCTTGCCTGGATCATCACCTTCCTGTTCCCCTCTGCTCTGTGTACATTCTTACATATTCTCTCTACTTCCCTTATCTGTTTATTTTCTTCTGTTTATTTTCTCCTTCAGGCAACCCTTTGTAAAGATGTTCATTGGCAATTTACTATATTCTTCATGCAGAGGGTCAAAAGATGGATAAGGATTAAAAGGAAAATGAAACATCAATCAATCATCATCAGCCATATTTTAAACCAAGATTCGACAACCTACTGGTTGACACCGTCTGATTTGAAGCTGCGTGTTATGCCAACAATTACATAATAAGAAAAATGATTATTCAGCTGGTTTATAAAAGTAGTAATTTGGCTCACTAATAATATAACAAATACAGTAATTACAATTAATAATTCAGTCAGGTTAGATGGTTAAAAATACCATTCAGGCCCAAAGCTTGCTAATAACTTTTCTGCCCCCTGAAGTCCCACCCTTAGAAAAAACACTCTTTCCTCCTAAACTTTTTCACTCCATAGTAGACTTTTGTCCTAAGTATCTAAAATTTTATCTTTAATTTCATGTGGTTTGCATACATGAAGTGCCAATTCTGCCACATCACTGAAGATAATAGTTCGATCGACTATATTGCATATGTTCTCAAAGTATGATTTCCTGCGTGTACTATCTGTATGAACTATAAAGATACCATCCCTACTCTTTGAAGTGTTTACAATCTAGGCACATCCTGGACTTGACTAAAAATAGCTGGCACAAGCCTTTGTTGAAATAGAAGTACTCATGAGGCTAACACTTGCTCTTTGGACCAAGTGTCTGTTATGTGAGGGACTTCTGGGTGACCCCAGAAGGCTCTGTGCCCAATGCGGGGCTTATAAAAAAGGCCAAGCAGCTGTTGGAACTACTTCAAGCTTTCACGAGGGTTAGATGAAGTCCTCTAGCAGCCTAAAACCTGAAAAATGATGGTATCCTACTTCTATATGCAATTCAAAGAAAGAACAATACTAAACCATAACATTTTTTCTGTTTTGGTGACCTTGCTTGCTGGCACTCTAAGTTAACAAAGTAAGCGCACACACACACACACACACGCACACACACACAGAATTTGGAGAGAGAAAAGTGTAATATTTTGTATTTTATCAAAAGCATCAATACAATCATCACAGGAAAAAAATCTTGACTATGTTGGTCTTTTTGACATCAAGTAGAAAAGTCAGGCTCTCTTTATTAGTCAGGGCTCTTCAGGGAAACAGAACCATAGGATATGTGTATGTGTGTCTGTGTGTGTTGTGTAGATAGATGATTGATGGATAGATAGATAGATAGATAGATAGTTAGATAGATAGAATTGGCTCATGTGATTGTGGAGGCTGGCAAGTCCAAAATCTGCAGAGTAGGCTAGCAGGCTGGACACCCAGGGAAGAGTTGCAGCCTTAGTCCAAATATAGTCTGGAGGCTAGAAATCCGAGATCAAGGTGTTGGCAGAGTTGATTTCTTCTGAGGCCTCTCTCCTTGGCTTGCAGATGGCCGCCTTCTCCTTGTGTCTTCACATGGTCCTCCCTCTGTACATGACTGTATCTTAATATCCTCTTCTTATAAGGACACCTGTCATATTTGATTAGGGTCCATCTTAATGACTTCGTTTTAACTGAATTACCTCTTAAAAGACCCTATCTCCAAATATAGTCACATTCTGAGATACTTGGGGTTAGGATTTCAACGTATAAATTTTGAGGGGGACACAATTCAGCCCATGACACTCACCTCTTCCACCATGCTTCTATTTCCTTTGAGAAAAAAATGCTCACTAATCTCCCCATTTTTTTTTGCTGTTTTCTGTTAGGAGGTGAGGACAACAGGAGGTCTTTGGTGTGCCCTCAGAAGTCCGCCTTCAATTCTCACCCAGCCACTCTGAGAATGGAGTGGAGACGGGAGCTGTTTCTCAACTTCACCGTTGTCCTGATTACAGTTCTCCTTATGTGGCTCCTTGTGAGGTCCTATCAGTAGTGAGAGGCCATGCCACGCTCCTGGGATTGACTGCAACACTCCAGAGCTGCCTGCTGTATGCCCTGAGACCTCACCGCTGTCATGGGATGCCTTTCCTGGCACCCCAAGACATTTCTGACCTGCACTCACAATATCTGAGGTGCCTCCAGTGCTAGGATCGATTGTGTGTTCTCTAAGGATGCTGCTCTCAAGGGCTCCCAAGCGTTTGCCTGCGAGCATTAGATTTATTCCCCCAACTCTTACTGCAAACATGTTAGACAAGCCACAAGGTTAAAATTAAACTGGATTCCCGGTGATGTAGAATTGTAACAAGCCTCTGATCTGTCTTACCACACGTCCCTTCAACCCACACTGTCTGCAACCAAACTCTAAATCAACCTGCCAGAAGAAAGAAATGTTAGACCAAGTCTTTGTCAGCTCCTATAGCTACTGTGTGAATAAAGTTAAGTCAACCACAAAAACGACTTTGAGAATTTATTTTAGCTTCTGTTTGTGATACTGCATTTGACCCTTGGCTGGGATTGAAGTGACAAATGCTACAGTATTTCTAGCATTTGAGATAAGCCAAAATACTCCAACTGCTAAGGATTTGAAACCAAGTCAATTACGAGTGTCACATTTCAAATGATTCCATTGGTTCAGTGCTCCTCAAACTTTCCCTCTGAACTAATCTCAAGGGCAGAGGGAGAATGAATGCATTCCGCTAGGAGGTCCAGGGCACAGCCTGAAGTTTCCACTAAAAGCACACAATTTCTTTGAAGTTTTGTGTTTTATCTATCTTTAAAATTCACAAGAAATGTGTATTTTACCCTATGATATCTCCATGTTTGTTTTAATATAAATATTTACAATTGTTTACCATTGAGTAAAACTAGAGAAGAGTCATGTCCCTAAGAGTAGCATTTTTCAGTTTGGTTATTATCATTATGCAAATCGAGCGAGTCATTAATAAACTATAGTTATAACAAAGAGGAAAATAAAAAGTACAAATTTACATATATGTTTATAAAAGAGACTATGAAATAGATATTTCTAAAACACGTAGCTAGAACACCCCATACCAGATAGATCAAATTTGTTCTTTGTGCCAATTCTAAGGTAATCGCAGAGAAGGGAAACGTCGTTAAACCTCATCTTTCACAGCACTCCTCGTGAGGGCATTTCTTGCCGAGAATTCGGCCTATCGCTGAGGCATTACCTACCTAGCATTGTGGTTCTCAACCCTGGCTGCACAGTTTATTCACCCAGGGATGGTTTTTCAAAAATATTCCTGCTAGGTCCTCCTCAGACCAATTAAATAAAAGTCTCAAGGGAAAGAGCCCAAGCATCTACATTTTTCAAAAGTCCTCTGGATGATTATATTGTGTAGCCAGAGTTGAGAATCGAGGATAGCTACCAGTACTTCTCAAACTTTAACGTGATTACGAATCACTGGGAGGTCCCTTTTAAATGCAGATTCTGATTCAGTTTTGATTCTGACTCAGTCTGGACTGGGGCCTGAGATCCTGCACTGTAAACAAACTCCGAAGGGGTACCGGTGCTGTGGTCCATGGTCTACATGTGGAGTAGCACATTAGAACCACCTGGGACCTTTAGCAAACAACCCAAGCTTAAGCCCTATTCCCAGGAGTTTCTAATTCAATTGATCTGGGGTGAACCTGAGCATTATTCTTCTTTTGAAAGGATTCCAGGTAGCCTAATGTGCAGCCAAGATTAAGAACCCTGATATAATTAAAGGGAGAAGTGTCTTTTTTTTAAAGGAAGATTAGCCCTGAGTTAACATCCACTGCCAATCCTCCTCTTTTTGCTGAGGAAGAGTGGCCCTGAGCTAACATCCATGCCCATCTTCCTCTATTTTATATGTGGGACGCCTGCCACAGCATGGCTTGAGATCTGAACTGGAGAACCATGGGCTGCTGAAGTGGAGCGCACGAACTTCACTACGATGCCACCAGGCTGGCCCCCAAAAGTGTTGTTATTTTTGAGGGGTTTCCAGAAAAAGTTGGCAAATAGTGATGTATGTTTCTCAATGTCCTGTTCCTAATTTCAGAGTTGGACTACATATACGGATGGCAGTTGTTAATGTTTCAGTGTGCAGCACATCTACTCATAGGCACATGGCTCTAGGGTGCTTGGTGGAGGGTTACTAGTCTTTCCCTTACTCAAAGAAAACCTTAGAGAATCTACCGTGTATGTGTTGGAGAAGGTGTGTGTGGTGGTGGAGAGGGGAATGGACAAAAGGAGCAACAACATTCCTTCCACGTAAGTTTGAGTCCTCGTGCCAACATTTACAATAAGTACCACTTGTTGAGTTTATTGTATATGAAGCCCTATACTAGGCACTTTCCACACATTAAGCCACTTAGCACATGTGGGAACTGAGGATCACAAAGCTCACTAGCCAGATGTAAGCGGTGAAGCCAGGATGACAAAAGCATCATCTTATTATCTGTTGGGGTCTGCATACAAATCATACTTCATTATTGATCTCCAAATCGTTTGATTATAGGTTCTTATTCTCCCATTCTTTAGCTTTCTAAAATATCAGCCTAATTAGATAAAGGGAACAGCTGTAATTCTCTACGTAACTTCTCTTTGCTTGTCAGTCCTCACCTTTCTCCTGCCTGTCTCTTCCTGCTGATAGGACCCGTTTGCAGGCCATATTATGGGTCACCTTTGCAGGGGTGGGGCATCCATTAGCTGAGGCTAGAATTATGTCTAATTTCTCCCGTGTTCAGGAATCCTAGTCATTATGGCTAGATTCCAGTCTGATTCATAATTCTCCTTCTATGTATAACCTTCCCTGGGATCTTGGGTACCTTGAATCATCACAGTACTCCCTCAGTGTTGGCCCCATCTACCCAAATGCTGTTCAGTTACCTCCAAACAAGATGCCAGTTCTCCTCTGGAACCAGAACATTGAATTCTAGTTGTTAGCTAAACTCCAGCTCATTGGCTTGATCCTGCCCTAGCTTTTTTCTATTTAGTTTGTTTATTCCTTCAACAAATACTTATGTGAAACTATGTGTCAGGCATTGTACTAGACACTGGGGATAAAATGGTAAATGAGATAGATAAGCCCCATTCTTATGGTGCATATGATTTAGTGAGGGAGATAGATACATGAACAGGTGGTTATAATGGCATGATAAGTTCTTTGACAAGAAAAGGAAAGGGTTTTGTTGGAGGAGATTCCAGGCAGAGAGAACAGCATGAATAAAAATCTAAAGGTCAGAGAGCATGACAAATTCAGGAAATTGAAAGTATCTTCATAGCTAAAGCATAGAGTGCCTCTCCCACCATTGGCAGAACTTATGCTACATAAGGGTAGATCTCAAAATTCTGACTGCATCTGTCTGACTTTCTCATTGGACCACCTCTGGGATCCCTCACCATCACGCTTTACTCACTGGAAGAGACCTCCTGCCACCAACAACTGTCTGAACCATGCCTGTGCTTGCACAGAGTTTAAACGCTGGACCTTGGAACACCTGGCAACCTTTATCTATGACAGTCAGGTCAGTTCTCCCCACTTACCATCTTACCCTTTGAGAAGCTCTTTGTTAGGTGATGGTGTCTTCCTGCCCTGAGCTGCCAGGATCCCAGCGCATCTTAAAGTTGAACTGTTCATATCACAATGCCAACCAACCACGTGAATTTTAAAAAGAAGATATCTTATATTGCTGGCTTAGACTTTTCTTCCAGTCTTCCCTAAACTCACTGCTAAATTGGACATCTTTTGGAACATCCCATTTTTATCTAATGATTTTCTTACATTGAGAAAATACACAAGCTTTTATTGGTTTAGCAGTCGCAACACCATATCTGGTCACCAACTCCTCTCCCCAGGACTGCCATATAGTTGGCCTTTATAGGCATAAGAAATTATCCAGATAATTCATGTGCCAAGACATGGCTCTAAGAAAGGAGCCCCAAGATACTCCAGCTTCCATAACCACATTTCCATCTTTGCTCCATTGACCCAGACAGAGGTGTGTGAAAATTGCCATAAAATGGTAGTGCTGCCATTGTTCTCTTTTAATTTGAGGCTCTCAATCAATCTAGAAGCCGTCTCAAGGGGACAGTTCCCTTTTCACTCCTACTGTTTTCTTATTGCTTAGCAGTCCCTTTTGCTCCACTGGGACACAATTCTTTCTGCCATTCCCACCTGCCCCCGCTGCCATTTTGGGACTTGATCCGTGCCCTTCCTATATAGGATCCCAGAGCCTTCTTCAGCAGGCAGGGCATTTCTGTTACCATCTTGAAATCCCACTACCCAGAATCCTGTGCTGAATGCCTAGAGTACTCAATAGTTAAGGACAAAATAAACTAATCTGGTTCTCTTCTCCTTTCCTCCAAATATGTTACCCATCATTCTCCTAGATATATTTTATCATTTTACTGCTTTCTGAATGTCTTCTAAAAAATTTTGGCACAGAAGACCTTTCTTAGCTGATCCACATCTATTTTTAGCTTCTGTTCTATTTACCTGTCCCACATGCCCACCCCACTGCTCATTTCCTCCTATTTGTAGTTTTCAAGGGTGCCATGTTCTTTTATATTGCCGTGACCTTGCACATCTGTTCCCTTTGCCTGAGCTTCCCTCTCTTTCTTTCCCTGGCTAATTCATTTGTTGAGATTGCCATTAGGTGTTATTACCTCTTGGAAGTTATCCCCAGATAATTCCCTTCTCTGAGCCTCACGCCTAACGTGCTCATAGCACTTACCTCATTGTATGGTTTGTTTGCACTTGTCTCCCATGTTTGTTTCTTGTCTATGAGGACTCTCTTAAATGTTAAATTTTAGTTCCTAGCTGGTCCATCATCATCACTAAATAAGTATCAGTTGAACACATCAATAAACTCTGGGCTAGATATAAAATCCTCCTGAATAAACATGTACCCATTTCTATGATTGGGTGCATGATCTGTGCTCACCACAGTGTAATAAAGAGGGAACTATGAAATCCATAGTTCTAAAAGTTCTATACTATTGAGCAAATCAAACTTCTTTTAAACTTTAGACAGTTGAAACAGCTTTTCCAAAGGCAGTTTGCTTCTTTATAAAATATTCATGGCGCTTGCTTCTTTTGATCTGTCTCTAACACCACCCTGAACACTTTGACAATGTTTATGAATGACTCATCAAAGCCCAAAGTGCTGAGCGTATTTTTGAGTTCATCTACAAACAGGGTGATATTGGAGAAATTTCCATTTTTCGAGCTGCATAAAGTTGGAGTTAAACTTCATTTATAAACAGCATATTTAATCAAACGTTATTGCATACCTACTGTGTGTTAGGAACTCATTTTATTTAATTCTCCTTTATTTTCTGAAGTATTTATTTTTATTAATACCTTGAGAGTGAGAAGACTGAGGCTCAGAGTGGACAAACGACCAGCCCCAAAACACAGAGCTAACGAGAGGCAGAGCTGAGAAGCAAATCCAGTTCTTTCCAACTC